GGGGGGGGGGGGATGGGGAGGTTGGTAGGCCAGGACTCTGGGAGAATGGGAAAACTGATCCCAGAGTGGGGGAGAGGGCGCTCTAGGATTGTGTTATTATTTGACATTGATGTGGCTGGAGTGCCTACTGGCCAGTTGGGTCAGGGCTCCAGCACGCAGGGTGCTGTATAAACAGATACAGTGAGGAGCCCTGCCCCAAGGAGCCTACAGGCTACAACAAGACATTACAGATGGATGGGAGCCACGCTGCCCGGGGCTGGGAGCCGGGGTAGGACAACAAAGGGGAAGTGTGCGCTTCTTAGTGACTACAGGGGCTGCTCCCAAGGTGTGCCCAGTGCATTCTAGGCACGGGCTCCTCTCCCAGCTCCCTGGACTCACTGTGATCCGGGTCTTGTTGTTAACCAGCTTGCTGATGTGCTCGTCCAACTGCCTCCTGTGTTGCTGGAGCTCTGTTATCAGCCCTGAAAGCTCCTCCTGTGAAGGCAGCACCAGCTCCGGTTAGACTGGACTCTAGTCTAGACAACTGCACCCCAGGGCGAGCCAGGCTGCAGTCGCCTGGCAGGACCCCAAATCCCCCCCCCCCTTCCCCCCGTGCAGCCAGCCAGGCCCTGGAGGGAAACCAGTTCTCCTGGGGTCAATCATACCTCACGTCCCCTGGCTCACTGGCTTCCCCAGTGGAACACGGGCACAATGAGACCACGTTCCCCTCTGCTCCAGGGCAAGTCGTGAATCTCTCCTTTCCCACTCTGCGTTAGCTCACCTCCAGGGCTCTTCAGTGCTACGCTGCCGCTCTGTGTTACGCCACCTCTTTAAAGGACATCATCAGCTGGAAACCTCATCAGTTCCAAAAAGTTAAGAGCAGTTTCTGCTCTGACACCTGCTACTCTTTTCCCAGCCAGTGATGGTGGCTGGGCAATCACATTTTACAAATGCCTATGTATTTTTTGTGAGGGGTTGGACGGACATGAGAGTTAACCATGACCACCTGGCACACTATGAAATATGACAGTACTTAGTACCCAGAGTCTGCTACAGTACAACCAGCCAACATAAGAGGTGAATAACCTGTGTCTACAGTGGGTGGTAAGTGGTGTTTCAAATCACGTTAGCCAACTCTGTTTTAAAAAGCAGGACAAGCCCTGAGCATTGAACATTGTTACAACTGGCAAGGGTTTTATCTAACACAGCAATGGGAATAGCTGGAGAGGTGGTAGCACCACAGACAAGGGTCAGGCGGATTACAGTGGATGGCCAATGGAATGGGAGCCAAGGTGATACAGTGAAAAAAAGTTAAAATAAGTTTGGGGTGTGTTAACAGAAATGTCCTATTTAAAACATGGAAGGAAATTGTTTTGCTCTACTGTTTGTGTCCAGGTTTGGGAACCACTTTAAGAAAGATACAGAGAAAATCCAGAGGAAAGCAACAAGAATGATTAGAAATCTAGATAAACTGACCTCTGAGGAAAGGTTAAAACCCTGGCACTACGTCTAGACTGGCATGATTTTCCGCAAAGGCTTTTAACGGAAAAGTTTTTCCGTTAAAAGCATTGGTGGAAAAGAGTGTCTAGATTGGCACAGATGCTTTTGCGCAAAAGCACTTTTTGTGGAAAAGCATCCGTGCCAATCTAGACGTGGTTTTGCGCAAGAAAGCCCCGATCGCCATTTTTGCCATCGGGGCTTTTTTGCTCAAAACAGTCCTCCCCTGTCTACACTGGCCCTCTTGCGGGAGCATCATAGTATTTGCACAAGAACACTGACAATCTTACATTAGATCATCTTGCGCAAATTCAAGTGGCCAGTGTAGACAGCTGGCAAGTTTTTCCGCAAAAGCAGCCACTTTTGCGGGAAAACTTGCACAGCCTGGATGTGCTCAGTCATGATAAAGGGAGACCTGACAAGTCTGCCAATATGCTAATGTTCCAGAGGACAGTGATTAATTTTGTGTCCGTTGGAGGTAGGACAAGAAGCAATGGGCTTCATCTGCAGCGATGGAGAGTTAGGTTGGATGTTAGGAAAAGCTTTCTAGTTACACGGATAGCGAGCGCTGGAATTGGCTTGCAAAGGAGGTTGTCACTGGAGGTCTAGAGAAGAGAGCTGGCCATCAGCTGTCAGGGTGGGCCCAGGTTTGCTTGGCTCTGCCTCAGAGCTGGGAAAGGACTACCGTATTTTCCGGCGTATAACACGACCTTTTACACTAAAAAACATCCCCCAAAAATGGGGGGGTCGTGTTATACGCCGCGCATACATACCTGATCCCTGACACGGTGCTTGGGGCTGGCCCCAGGCACGTGGCGCCCGGTGAGTGCCGGCGGGAGGGGGGGGGTGAGCGGGAGCACCGGCCCCAGGCGCGTGGCGCTTGGCGCAGGGAGCG